TGCCATGGACAAATCTCATGTTCGGGCCACTATACTTTGCTCCAAAGCAGGTGGTTTGCAGATGAGAATTCGCAGCGGTGGACACGATTACGATGGTCTTTCTTATGTTTCGGACGTTCCCTTTGTTTTACTCGACATGTTTAATCTTCGATCTATTGATATAGACTTGAAAGATGAGAGTGCATGGGTTCAATCTGGCGCGACTGTTGGAGAACTTTATTATCGAATTGCAGAAAAGAGTAATGTCCGTGGATTTCCAGCAGGAATATGCCCTACTCTTGGGGTTGGTGGACATTTTTCAGGAGGTGGATATGGGAATATGATGAGGAAATACGGGTTATCGGTTGATAATGTTGTCGATGCTGAAGTAGTTGATGTGAATGGAAATGTTTTAGACAGGAAAGGGATGGGAGAAGATCTGTTTTGGGCAATCAGAGGTGGGGGAGCTGCAAGTTTTTGTGTTGTTCTTTCATGGAAGATCAAACTGGTTCCGGTACCGGAAAAGGTTACAGTTTTTCAAGTGGAGAAGACAATGGAGGAAGGAGCTGTTGACCTAGTTGTGAAATGGCAAGAAGTTGCAGACAAACTCGACGAAAATCTCTTCATCAGACTGATGCTGAGTCCTACGAAAATCAGTACCAAGAACAGTGTAAAAGCATCTTTTGTTGCCATGTTCCTTGGCCAATCTAATAGTCTTCTGTCTCTGATGAATCATAGCTTTCCTGAATTAGGGTTACAGCAGAAAGACTGTATTGAAATGAAGTGGATTGAATCCGTCCCCTTTTGGACTGGTTCTCCGAACGGAACGCAAATAGATGATTTGCTCATCCGAGAATCAAAACGACCAGTTTTTCTAAAAAGAAAATCTGATTATGTTCAAAAACCAATCTCCAAAGCAGCCATCGAATCAATCTTTAAGGCAATAATTGAGTCAGAATATGTAGGGATGTTATGGAATCCTTACGGAGGAAAAATGAGCGAAATCTCGGAGTCAGAAACTCCATTTCCTCATAGAGCAGGAAACAAATTCAAGATTCAGTATTCTGTGAACTGGAACGAAGAAGGCAACGACATCGTTAACAAGTACTTGGATCGAACAAGAAGGCTTTTTGGCGCGATGACTCCTTTTGTTTCCAAGAACCCTAGAGAGGCATTCCTCAACTATCGTGACATCGACATTGGCGGAAACCTAAATGGAACATATGATGAAGGAAAAGTTTATGGGATTAAGTATTTTAAAAATAACTTTGATAGGCTAGTACAGGTGAAGAACAAGGTTGATCCTGAGAATTTCTTCAGATATGAACAAAGCATTCCAACTAAGAACAAGGCTTAGAGAAAGATCAAATCTTCTGTACCAAGTAAGAGGATTAAGGTTGTATTTCATTTTTTTTTTTTTTTTCTTGAAGATACACATGAAAAATCATCAAAAAGAAAGAAAAGTTACAGTGATCATACATAATTTCATATATTTAATGTGATTCTTATAAATAAATATTTCAAGATTTACGAAACTATATAATCATAGATCCTCTCTTTTGTATCTCATTGATACCCCGAGTTTAATTTCGGATTAACTCAACAAACCCTACTCTTATATTGAATTTTAAATTTATACTCGACGTAAGTAGTTTCCAATTAACTTAAACGTCGGTAAAATTAATCCTTAAACCGCGTATAATTTCAACAAAGTAAGATGCATAACGAAAACAACACAAGATTTAACGTGGTTCAGCAGTTTGCCTATATCTACATATAAGATCGATAAAAAAAAATTTCTACTGTAATAATTGATAGTACATTATCAATAGGTTTACAAGCCAAATAGAGAAACTATACTGAGTTTTCTTCACACAAAACTCTATATGATATATATACGACAGTGTATCTATATACACGATAAGATCGATGAAAAACTTTTTCATTATAATAATTGAAAATACGTCATCAATAAATTTACAAACCAAATAAATAAGCGATAGGAGTTTTCCTCCCACAAAATATATATATATATATATAATGTTTCTTAAAATAAATACATCAAATTCAATACACGTCAACAGTTAAAATTTAAAAAATTCAGAAGATATATACAAATCACGAATTAAAACTATATTAGAAATAATTTATGACCCCCAAGTTAATTGAGAAACGTTTAACAAGTAAGCAAAGAAGAGAGGAATCAGGAAGGCAAATGGAAGGTGATTAATAAAGAAACTTAATTGGTGCCAAAAAATTGTAGAAGAAAATGAAAAATCTTGGGCCGTGAAGAATTCTAGATGAGAGATTTTTGCAGTTGTCGGCAAAATCAGGGGTATAAACAGCCATGGCCTCTTGATTCGGAGGTAATTGAATCATAATCTGAAATGTATGATTAAGTTTCTTGATCTGAGATATTTGATTTGCTTGATATCTGCAGAGTTTGATAATAACCCATTAATAATATTTATATACCAAAAAATCCCAAGAGAAGGTTACAGTCATCTGGAGAAGATGAAGGATTCAGAGTCTGCAATTCTTCTCTTTTTTGCTTCATTTCTTTTAGTTTCGGAATCTTTATACGTAAACTCTGACTCAGTTCAAGAAACCTTCGTTGAATGTCTTCACAGCAGATCTCAGCCATCCAAGCCAATCTCCCATGCCATAATCACCCCTGACAACTCTTCATTTTCATCTACTTTGCTGGAATATGCAAGAAACCAGCTATTCACGACAGCCAACAATCGGAAACCTCTTGTCATCGTTGCCGCCATGGACAAATCTCATATCCAGGCCGCGGTTCTTTGCTCCAAAGCAGCAGATCTGGAGATGAGAATACGC